GTTTTACTATTAATGCGCATGTCCCGGGAGGCGGAGTGGTGAATTGCGCATGTCTAAGGGGTGGAGGCGCTGTCGAAAAGGCGGTGCACTGCGTAGGTGGGGCTTCGGTGACTTCGGGCCGTCGCGGACCTGCCTGCGGGAATGGCGGGTAGGGGGAAGCTAATAGCGGTGATCGGAGACGAGGACACGGTGACTGGCTTCCTGCTGGGCGGCATAGGGGAGCTTAACAAGAACCGTCAGCCTAATTTCCTGGTGGTGGAGAAGGATACAACCATCAATGAGATCGAAGACACTTTCCGGTACGGTAGCCCGCGAGGCCTGAATGGGACCCGCTGCCTTGGGTGGGATCGCGGGGACCTGGCGGGCGGGGCCTGCGCTGGTCGTCCAGACCCCGCTGTCGAGGGTCAGGGAAGTCGATTCGGCCGCCCTTCCGGAGGAAGCCTCTGTGCTCCAAGTTCGCTTTTGGGGCCTGGGGGAACCCGGGCTATGTCAGGTCCACGAGCTCATCTCTCACATGACGGTGTGTCAGGAAAGAAGGGGAACAGAGCTCATGACGGGCGCCGCCCCTCGGCCCAACCTTCCGCAGGGTCAGCTTCGCCCCAGTTCATCTGTAGAGCAGACCCCCAGCATTGCTAGCACTCGGCTCTTGCGAATTGACCCCGCAAGGAACCATACACTTCATCGGAACACCTAGGCAGTGGGGTCGGGTTGTCTTGTGTTTTCATGTCCCTTAGAGGCTCACAACCATCCTGTAAGCTAGGGGTTATCATTCCTCTTGACAAGAGAGGTTAAGGCACGTACCAAAGTCACAACATTTGGAAGAGAGGGAGAGGGGATTTGAACCCAGTCCCAACTCTCTAAAGCCAGGTCCACGCTTTGCTTGTACAGTTCTCTCTTAGAATTTCCCATTGTCCCGAGCACAGCCGGCAGAATATTAGGGCAGTATCCTACTTTCTGCTAAGACCTTGCATGTGAAGGCCTCATCTCTTCCCCTGGGTCAAGAGTGATAGCTTCATAGTGTGAATGCAGGCATGTCCCTTAATCCAGGAGGTGTCCTGGTGACTTGAATTGAGAATGCCAGGCCCTGTGCTTTCTCACCCCTTCTCTAAGGCCCCTGTTGCCAAGTCTCAGGGACAAACCATGCTCACCTGTTTTCCCCTACACAGTCCAGCCCTGAGCTGCGGGCTGAGACTGGTTCCTGCTGCCTGGGGTATGATAGGCCCTGAACTGGCCTGATCTTTAAGCGTTCTGGTAAAGTGACCCAAGTTGTCAGGGGAGAAGGACAGATTTTACTCCAAGAACTTTCCATGTTTCTATCCAAAGGGACCCAGAGATCATCAAGTCTAACCTGCTCTGGTGCCTGGCACAGAGCAAGCGCTCAGTTAGTTTTTAATATTTTAATTAATGCGTGGGTGATCACAAAGAAAGAAGAGCCCAGTGCTAGGCTCTCTCTCTGGGGAAAGTATGATTTTCCTCCTCTTGTGTTGTATTCTTGGCTCACACCAAACTTCCCCTCCGATCCATCCCCCACCCTCATCAGCATAGACCTTAAAGCCTTTAGTGCTCTCATCAGCCCCCTTAAAAAAAAATGTTTTCCTTTGAAAAGTTAAAAGTATTCATGTGGCTTGCAAATTAATATTTAAAAAATACATAAACATTGAAGTCTCACTCCCACCCCCACCCCCGTCTTTTTCTACTTCATTACCTCCCTCCCTCCTCCACCCATGTAAACACTTAATTGCCTATTTACCTTTCTGCTTTTTCTTCATGTCCATACAGAGGGACAGGCATGCACATTCTTATCCTCTTTTTAACACAAACGCAACATACAGAGAATACACCAGTGTGTGCCCTAATCCTCAGCACCAGTTCACTTGGGAGCCTTCCAAGCAGGGGAGGGAGAAGCCAACCCTGACAGCCAGGGCCCTTAGGTTTTTGAATTTGATCCTGGTTAGGAACTCTCCAGAGTCTAGCTAGCAACCTTTGCCCTTGAACTCTGCGGTTTCTGGGTCAAGCCCATTCCCCTCGGCAGCCCAGCCTCAGCACCTCTTGAGTTGGCTGCCCTGGAATCCCTTCTCCTCTCTCCCAACAGGCAGTTTCTAAACCGGGATGACATCGGCATTATCCTCATCAACCAATACATTGCAGAGATGGTGCGGCACGCACTCGACGCCCACCAGCGCTCCATTCCAGCCGTTCTGGAGATCCCGTCCAAGGAGCACCCCTATGATGCTGCCAAGGACTCCATCCTGCGCAGGGCCAGGGGAATGTTCACGGCCGAGGACCTGCGCTAGGGCCCTCCCCACAGCCATGCAGCCTCTCCCCAGGCTTGCCCCATCAGCCCTTCTCTAAGTTGTGAGCCTCTGATGTCCAGTTCCCAGCCCCCTGCCCCTTCCCATTCCACTGAGAGGCTAGGTGAGGTGCTTCCATGTTGGCTGCGGCTCTGCCATTAAAGTCAAGGCCGGTTAGGGAACAGGAAGCCTGAGTGTCTTCTCTCCACTACCTCCCTGTTGCTGTTACACAGTGTCACTGTTGATGTTAAATTAAAGTAATGTTCTTGTTTCTCTCCAAACTGATGCTGGGTGCCACAGAGGACACGCATGGGATGAGGCGGTTGGGGGGATGAGATTGGCAGGGCCAGAGATGGTTCTGCCCAAGATCCGGGCATAGAAAAGTTGGACCAGGAGGATGGTGCCAGGAGGTTGTAACTCAAGGATGGGTCCTTTGAATCAACAGTGACCAGCTCCGGTGGGGAGGAACGGGGGGAGGTTTGTGTCCAGGCCCTTGGCTCCCCCACTTCAGTCTCTCTTGGGCTGGGAAGGGACCTGACCCGAAGGGATGGAAGCAGAAACACAGGAAACCTAGAAGCCTGTGATACGAGACCGAGCCTGGGTCCTGCAAGAGGTTTGGAGGTCAAGGCTCTTAGCTGGTGGGCCCTGGCCTGAGGTTGCCTCTGGATCAAGGCATGTGAGGTCTGCTAAAGGCATGGCAAGTAGAACCCTGGCCCTGTGTGAGGTGAGGCTTGGTTGCCAAGTGACTGTCCTCGCAGCCCCCTGCTGTCAGAAGGACCCTGCTTGCTGTTGCTCACCCCTCAGCTGTAGCCACCCTGCTCCTTCCCTGGCTACCATGTCGCGGCAACTCAACATGGATACGCTGCGGCAGAACTTCTGGAAGGAGGAATATCTGCGGGAGAAGACGTTGCGCTGTGAATGGCACCGCAAGTATGGGTCGATGGTGAAGGCCAAGCAGAAGGCTAAGGCTGCAGCGCGCCTGCCCCTCAAACTGCCCTCCCTGCACCCCAAAGCCCCACTCCTACCTCCGCCTGCCCCCAAGGCAGTGCCTACCGAGGCCCCCAGCCCTGCCCCGGAGACTCCTATTCAGTCAGAAATGCACCCGGTCCCGCCTGCCACCCAGGCCCTGCTGTATGAAGGCATCTCCCACGACTTCCAGGGGCGCTACCGTTACCTCAACACCCGAAAACTGGACATGCCCGAGATGCGCTACCTCTTCCCCATCACCACCAGCTTCGCATATGGCTGGCAGCTGGGTGAGCCCCAACCTCTCAAATTATTCATCTCACGAACACGGAGCCCCTGCCCTGAGCCAGGCCGTGCCGTCAGCACTAGGCACACAAGACATGGATGGAGTTGTCCCTTCTGGGGGGTGGGCTCTAGGCTGTAAAGAGGACCTGTCTGATAAGGACAAGTTCCATGATGAGACTAGGGAGTGATGGGGGAGATGGGCAAGGGCCGTGTGAGGCTTTAGACTGGATGGTCGGGAAAGGCCTCTCTGGGGACCCAACTGTTGGAAGCTAAGTGACACAGAGGAATTTGGATTTTATTCCAAGTGGGAGACGAAGCCATGGAGCGTTTTAAGCCGGTAAATGGTACTGGTCGCGTACTAACTATTCTGTAACGGGTTTTTCAGGGAAAGAGTCAACTCTGGCAGCTGACGTCTGCATCTATGTTGGGTCATCCTGGCAGGAGAGGACGATGGCTCGGGCTAGGGTGATTAGCGGTAGAGCCGAGGGAGTTTCAGGCTATGTTTTGGAGGAGGAATCAAGGAAGCCTCCTGAGGGATTGAATGACTGAAGGGGAAAGAAGAACCATGGTGAAGCCCCGGTGTTTGGCTCAAGTGCCTGGACAAGAAAGATGGAGAGGAGCAGGGCTGGGTGGTGTGTGAGGACAGGTCAGCCCTGACCATGCTGTGAGGTGGCTGTGTATGGAGGTCCCCCTGTGGAGTGAGGTCAGAGCTGAAGATGCAAACTTGGGGGTCATCAGAATGTAGGTGCTATTTAAAGCCGGAGTGAGGTCAGAGCTGAAGATGCAAACTTGGGGGTCATCAGAATGTAGGTGCTATTTAAAGCCTGAGGTTGGATGGGCTCACCCGGGGAACTCCAGATGCTGGAATCTGACAGGAGAGGCAGGGGCACAGAGAGGGGTAGGGAGATGGTGTTGGTGGGAAGGCTGTCCATCTGGACCGAGTCTGCTTTTTCTGTGAGGCTGAGAGTCGAGGTTATCCTCTGGGGTGTGGGGTGGGGCGCAGTGGTGTAGTTGGAGATGTAGAGTTAAATGGCATAGGAAAGGACCCTTGCTTCTTGTGCTCATGAATTGTGTGAGTGAGGCTACTCAGTCATGGGTTTTTCTCCCCACGCTTGAGTGCCTGGGCGGGAAAGGTGGATGGCTGGGGATAAACACAGTTGATGTTTTTGCCTAAAAATTTCCCCCACTTTCCCCAAGGTCCTAAAAGGAGGGGAAAAGAGGAATTTCCCCACAAAAGCAGGAAGCAAGTCCCAGGAGAGCAGGAGGTAGAAGGAAGCCCTCTCTCCCCCAGGGACGTCTAGCTCTGTCTGTCCCTGTGACCAGCCGTGCCGGGGGTCCCACCACCCGCTCTGTGGAGGAGCCTGGGGTGGGGGAAACGAAAGCAGGGGGCGGACTGACCAGTCCTGCCCTCACCGCTGCTCTGGACCCCCCGCCGGCTCCCTGTTTGCCCACGGCTGGTGTTGCTCAGAAGCACCTTTTATTCCTCCACACGTCCAAAGTGGATACAGTACAGGCAGATTTCCAGGGCTCCACAGGCAGGGCTCCCATGGTTCCCTTTCCCAGGACCCATTCCTGGCCTCTGACATCTTACCACAGGCCCCCCAGTGAAGCAAGAACTGGTCTCCCGTAAGATGTGCCGCACTGAATCGTTCTTCCGAAAGAATGGGGCCTTCTCGCTGCTTGACCCTCAGGACCTGGCGCTCTGACAATGGCCGGGCAGTGGACTTAGGGGAGGGAAGAAGAAATAACACGCCTCCTGGTGCGGCTGAAGCTGCTGCGTGTGTCTGTGTGTCTGGCCTCCCCGGCCCTGAGGCAAAGTTCTGGGCCTTTCTTGGAACTACCTCTGTTCTGCCCTTTGCGGGCCTGCAGGTTGCCGGCTTGCGTTCTCCTTAATCCTCATCTCTCTAATCATCCCTATGAGGATTCAGCAGGGACGAGAGGGGGGAGAGGGGGCTGGGAAGGGTGAGCGCTCCTCTCCAGCCGAAGGCTCCTCCGCGCCAGGGGGCCACAGTAGCTGCTGGAAGTTCTGGGTGTTCCTGGGAGAGAGTGGCCCGTCATCCCGGAGAATGGGAACCGCTACCGCCCCATCGGCCTCCCCGCCCTCCCCCCTCACCTGGCCCCGAGGGCCCGCAGCCGCCACGTCCTCTCCCGGAGCGCACGCTGCAGCTGCTCCCGCAGGGCGCGCCGCTGCGCCGCCGCGTCCTCCTGGGGCGGTGCCGAGCGCTGAGGCCCCGGCCTCCTCCCCCGCGGGCCTGACGGCGCCGGCCGGCCGCAGCACCCGGGCGGACGCGCCCCTCCCGCCCGCAGTCCGCGTCCGTGCGGGTGCGCGGGGCACGCAATCGGAAGGGACCCGGGAGGCTCCCAGCCCGGCCCGCCGCCCCCCCGCCCGGGCAGGATCGCGGGGGCCCCGCCGCCTTCTCCGGGGAGTCTTGCCTGTGGCGGGAGCTGGGCTGGGCTGGATGGGGGCCCCAGAGGGTGCACCCGGCAGTGGCGGTTCCTGGCGAGGCGGAGGCGTTCCAAGACCTGGAGGAGGCGGCTGTCAGCGGCCCGCCGGCCGCCCCTCGTGCCCCTTGTGCCCCTCGTGCCCCAGGCCGGCCCGGCGCGGCGCGGCGCGGGTACGCACTCGGAGCCGCTGCTGCTCGCGGGCCTGCCGCCGCCGGCGCCGGGCCGCGCGGTGCAGCTCCAGCAGCCGCTGCAGAGCCGTCTCCTGCTGCGCCGCGCTCACGCCCGCCGACGCCTTCTCCCGGCCGGGGAGCGCGGGCCACGCGGCCTTCGAGGCCTCGGGGGCCTCCGCGCCGCCCCCCCGCTCCCCGACGGCGCCCAGGAGCCTAGCGGAGCCGCCGCGCACCTGCTCCGCCGGGCCCGGGCTTCCCTCCGGGTCCTGAAGCCCGTGCGGGTCGCGCAGCAGCCCTGGGCGCCCCGGGAGAGCCGCGGGGTGCTCCTGCTGCCCCGAGCCCCCGGTGCCTGGGGCCGCTAGCGGCTCGGCCCCTGGGCCTGGGAGCCGCGGCCGGGCCGGAAGCCTCCGGGGTGGAAAGGGAGGCCGCGCCCCCTCCCGGACGGCCCTCGGCTCTCCCGCGGCCGGTGCCGACTCTTGGCTCCCGCCGTCAGTTTTGTCCTGCGTCAGCTGGGTGGTCCTATCACCGGAGCCAGGGCTCTCCCTTCCCCCAGGCTGAGGCTTCTGTTCTCCCAGGGACCGGCAGACATCCCTAGAAATTCCCAGGGAGGCGCCTTCCTCGGGGGGCTGTGTAGGCGCCTCTCCCTCAGCCACCTCCCAGGCTTGTGAGATGCGGCCTGGCGAAGTCTGAAGGGCCTTCACTTCCCCGCCCCGAGGAGTCTCCTTCCTCGGCTCCTGGAGGACCTCTTTTCTCTGGCACTGAGGGCTGTTTCCTCTTTGACCTTGAGGAGACTCGCTCCTCTCACTCTGGGGAGCCTCCCCCCGGGGGTACACAGAGACTTCCTCCCCCAGAGCCCCAGTGGCCTCCCCACTCTGACCCTGGTGTATCTTCTCTCTCTGTCTCTTAGGAACTTCTTCGCTCTCCCCGCTGGGGGCCTCCCCTTTCCGACCCTGGGGACGCTGTTTATGCTCTTGGGAATCCTCCTGTCTCTGCCTCTGAGGAATCTCAGTCCTCAGCAGTTTCTGAAGTTCTGCTCTTTCCTGGCCCAGGCTCCCGCCCCGCCCCACAGGGGGATCTTGGGGTTCTGACAGGCCCTGGGAGGGCAGGCCTGAGGGCCTTGGGGCTCCCTGAGCGAGCTTCCTCCCCCATAGGCTTGTGGAGGGCCTCTGGGTTGTAGGTCCTGCTTGTCTCCTCTCTCCCCTCTGGGCCAGGTCCTGGGAAGGAAGAGCATTTGGGTCCAGGCTTGTGAGGCAATCCCCATACCTTGGCCACTTTCCCCCCAAAGGACCTTGGAGACCTCAGTGGCTGTCCCAGTGGACCTCATTTCCATTACAGCCCTTGCCTGATTCCTGAACTCGTTAAGCCTACTTTACGTGGTGTAAAAGGTGCTTCAGTGCGGGTCCCTTCTTCCACCTGGCTATAGGAGGTGGCATCACCTCCCCCCAGTAGCCTCCTCCCAGGCAGACCCACCCCTGCTATCCCCAATCTGAGAGGGCTTTTGCCCAGAACACTTTAACTCTTTCACCTTGAACTCAGAGCTTCCTGGGTCCCCAAAGCTACTGCTGATGGTGGGGTTCGGCTCTAGTAAGCAACCTGAGGGAGAAAGAACAATGTCAGGAACCCTCTGCTCATATCCCAGCCCCTCACACACATTCCACCTGAACTGGAACCAAGAAGCCTAGGGAGTCCCCAGCACATAAGGGGAAGGGGATGCCCTGAGGACCGATGTTTGAACTTCAATGCTGTCACAGTTCATAGGTCCACCTTTATTCAAACTACCTGCCATGTACCTGCTTGTTGGATTTGCCTGTCAACAGCCGACCACATCTTCCTCATCCCCCCAGCCGAGGCAGAGCACCTCAGAGGGACCTGCACACCCTTGTCCTCAAAACCACCAGGGGATGCCTTGGGGGCGGGAAGGATCTGTTGGCCAGGCTTGTCAGTCCCTTACAAGGACACCCCACTTCCTCCTGGTGGGCCCCTCTAGGCCCGTAAAGAAACCCACAGTAGGCACCTTATTTTACTGTTATTAAGAAAAATCCTCCTTAGGGCTTTCTTGGTTGCTGACGGTAAAATCAAATGAAACTCAAGAAGTGAAATTTGAGGCTGGAGCCGGCCCTAAAAACTGCAAGTTTCATAATTAACAAAAGAAATCTAAAAAGAGAAATGAAATGTCTCTGCTCCCTTGCAGCTGTGCAGGAAAGAGAGTCATTCTGCAGCCCTAGAACTAGTTAAAAGAACTTGATTTTGTAAGACCCTAAATGGAGAACTTTCACAAGAATATTCCATCTTTATGCAATGTGGATGTGTGAATATTCACAAAAGTAACCAAATGGGTAAGTTCTTTGTGACAATGTCTTTTGAACAAAGGAGTCTGATAAGACTCCCAAGCCTTTAGAAATGATTGCCATGAACCACTGAACATGACCCCCAACCCTGTGCCCTCACAATTCTGATCTGTTGTCTTACTAGAGAACTTATTCCTCTGGTTATAATGTAACTGACGCCTCTGTATTCCCAAGAGATCTTTTACTTGTAAAAATCTCTGCCAATCAGAAAAAACAAGCATTGGCTCTTTGCTTTTCTCTCATGTGCATGATGGAACAATTAGAGGCTTCTGGCTCAACTAGGTTTATTTAACAAATAATTTGAGAGTCTGGTTCATTTAAATTGATAGGTCCAGGGTTCACAGCATCTATCCCATGGAATTCTAATTGCCTGTTTATGGTTGCACTCTCACTAAGCTGTGATCTCAGTGACAAGGACCAAGGAATGGGGCCAAGTCCGTCCTGTGCTCTGTATGTTCCCAGTGCCTGGCGTGAGGGGGGGCAAATAGGTGACAGGTGCCGCTGTCCCATCCCTCCTCCCTGGGCCACCGCGCACAGCCATTCCAGCACTCCCTCCCCTGAGCCCCAGTTTAGCTTCAGAATCCTGGACTCCGTGCCTGAGACAGCTGGTACTGAACAGGCGGAACTGGGACATAAAATAAAACCTACTTCTTGTCCCCGGGTGCTCCTTGGCACCCAATAAAAAGTATGAGATGAAGAATGAGTGAGAAGGGGACTGGGATCCTAGCACTTGGCATGAGGACTTCCCACCTCCTCCCAATCTTGTCTGGCCACCCAGCCAGGGTGTCAGCATACCGGGTGTGGGCTCTGCAGGCATAGCAGGGCTCCCCCATCTTGGGTCTCTGTCACTCCTAGCTTCACCCAGATCCAGGGCCGATGATGGGTCAACTGCCTGCCCCCTGCAGGAGTCAGAGGCTGCCTCAGAATCGCCTCTTGCAGCCCATGGGCTCTAGAAAGGGGAGGCAGCCTGTCCGCCAGTCTCCCCACTCCAATGCCTTTGAGCCCAGTCCAGGGCGGCCTCTCCCAGCCCCTGCATCCACCCCTGGGTCCCAGGAGCTGGAACATGGGGGTCACCCTTTCCAGGGGCTGTGGGGCCAGCATATGGGTACAACTGAGTGAGGACCCCAAGAGGAGCCTTGGGCATAAGGAGGAGGTCCTAGGCAGGACTGTGGAAGGAGATAGGAAAAACGGTCCAGGGCTTGGCCCTTTTGTGTGGCAATACAAACTGGACAGAATTTCCTGGGAAAAAGGCTCACCCCTCTGGAAGCTGATGGTTCTGGCTCAGAGAGTCCCCAGCCTGGGGCAGTGGGCACAGCCTGGAACTCTGGAAAGTTGGAAGGTGCCCTAGTCCACAGGGCATCATCCCCCAGTGTGGTGGGCACCATTTAAGATGGCCCAAATCATCCCTCCTCCTGGTACCCATGCCCACGTATGACCCTGCTCTCTTCCCCTCCTTGTGAGGAAATGGATCACTCCTGCCCATTCGAGCCTGCAGATGAGATGAGACTGCTGTTCTGGCCCAATAGGGTCGCCTGGACCCTCCCTTAGCGGTCACCACTAACACCCCCTCTCGCTGCAGCTGAGGATGCCTCGGCTCTCAGAGAGGGCTGCCAACCTGCCCAAAGTGCCTCGGACATCTGGTAACTGAGAACTGGGAGGCACAGTCCCAGGTCCCAGTCACCATAGCACCCTCCCTCCTAGAGGGGCCAGCCCAGCCACCAGCCCTGGGGGGAAAGGGTCCGTGGACCCCGGGCATCAGTGCCTCTGCCCTCAGGAGCCAGCCGTGCAGGCTTGCTTTCCTCCCACCCTGCAGCCATGTCTAAAGCCTTCAAGATGTCACCATGCCATTGATTAGACCAAGATAGTCATTAATTGCAGGTCCAGGCACCGTGCTAACCCCTTTACATGGATGAGTTTACTGGTGCTCCCTTTGAGTAAGATCGATTATCTTCCCCATTTTGTAGCTGAGGGAACAGAGGCTTACGGTCTCCAGGGAGCATCAGACCAGAGAGAACCCAGGCCCGTCTGTGTCTGAAGCCCATACTTATTCCTCTTCCCTCGCCACCACCATCACCTCGATGTCACACCGACCCCCCCCTTGCCTTCAGCCAAGCCCCCGCTCACCCAGCTGGTCCGCCGCTCAGGGCCCCCGCCTGTCCCACCATGGGGCTTGCCGCACTGACTCCGTACACACTGGGCCTGGTCCCTCAGACCACAGAACTTGGCCCAGGGGGGCCAGAAGAGGCTCAGCCCTGCCCCAGTCAGCAGCTCCAAGTCCCACAGCAGCTGCAAAAAGAGGGGGTGCCAGGGCATGAAGGGGTGCCCACCCTGCCCTCTGCCATGCCCCTCGGCCAGCCCCTACCTGCTGCTGGGCCCGCCGGCTCCGCTCCATCTCCAGCAACACAGTGGGGAGCTCCAGTCCTGATCGACAGGCCCGACTCTCTTGCACCTGGGGGACACGATAGAGTCAGGCCTCTGCCTTGCCCTTCGGAGGCAATGCCTTACCCCCCTCACCTGCTGCAGGGCAGCCTGGAGCTGGCCCGGGCTTGCAGGGCATCTAAAGAGGTGCTGGTACAGGGCTAAGGCCTGCCTGTGGCTACAAGGGAGCCCCGGGCCCCCAGGTGTGGCTGTGTGCTCCATGGGGAGGGGGAGCCAGAGCAGATGTCCCCTCCCTCCTCTCCTCTGCTGCTGGAATGGGAGGAGGGGAGGACCAAGAACCGAGGAGGAGACAAAGGCTCCTGAGCTCAATAATGCAGGGACCTGACATCTGAGCCACGGCCTGGACCCCAGCCAAGTCTCAGAGAGGGCCTGCCTCTGACCTGGGTTTCTTGGCTGTAGGGGGTGGCAGCGTGGGGCGAGGACTGGGACCTGGCTGGAGAGAGTGGTGCATGCGTGTGCTTGTTTGCAAGCCTGAGAGCATGTGTCTTACGTGTACGTATGACACTCGCAACTGCGTCATGTACACACGTAACGGGCCCCACGCGGACCACAGCCACCACAGGCTCACTCACCGTGGGCCAGGAAACAAAAGGCTACATCCGTGTAATCCGTCCCTGACGCAACTCTGTGAAGTGGGTGCTAGCATCCTCATCCAGTCTTACAGACTAGCAGGTGGCCCCGGAGAGCCGAGTTGCCCCAGCTAACGTGGGGCAGCATCTCCCTCATCTGGAGGCAAGTGGCTGTGATGAAGGGGCCTGGGGGAAACGTGGTCCCAGGGATGAGGAGCCCCCACGGGCAGGACAAGGGCGAGCACTTCCCAGGTGCCTGCTCCACGCTGTCCACGTGCAAAGTGCTAGCCCTGGGTCTACTCTGTCTACTCGTCGTGACACACGAGATACAGCAGGTGACGGCATGGTTTGTGAAGGTTGGGCAGGGACAAGGGCACGAGCTGGTCTGTCATTGCCACATCCCCGCTGTCCTGAGCAGCCTCGTGCACCTGCTGCTTTGCAACTGCTCCGCAAGAGCCCGGGGCCAACTCCCCTTGGGGGGCTCACGGGTGGGCTGAGCTAGCAGCTGGTGTCGGGTCAGCCCAACTCCCTTCACTCCTGCTGAAGGAAAAGGGAGCTGCAGTGAGAATGTAGTACCCCCTCGTCTTTTACCCAAGGCCCCTACATCACCAAGGTCACAGCCAATAGGTAGCAAAAACAGAGTCCTTTTTGCAAAGAGACTTTTCAAAGAAATAGGCTTGTTTTCTATTTCCGAACCCATGTTCTTTCCTCTACAAGGATGTCCCCTACTCACATGTCCATCCAGGGTGGGTGTGGCTGTGAATGCACACAGGGGCCCACGCGTGTGCTGCCCATGTTTACCTGGGTTTCTGAGGGGCGTGTGTGCACAATGTGCATGTGCACGTGCGCATGTGTATTTTGTGCATGTGCACGTGTGCATATGTTCGTGTGTGTATGTGTGGGTGTATGTGCGTGGGTGTGTGTGTATGCGTGCGCGTGTATCCATATTTCATCATGGTCTATTGTGTCTCCAGTTCCCCACCCCAGGCATGTCCCTGTCACCAGCTCTTAGAGCGGCCCTGGAGACACCTAGCACTTGGTATCCCCCAAGTCAAGAGGAAAGGGAATGCCATGTGAGGACTGAGCCCCTTTTCTGTGCTCCTCAGCCCCCACAGAATTCCACATGAACCACTGAGGGACCATGGGCCACACTTGCGACACAGTACGACCACAGAGCTGAGACCAAGATACCTAGGTCTTCCTTCCATCCAGTGCAAGGTTTCCCAGGCAACCCCAGGGTATGGCAGGTGGGGGCAGCCCAGGCAGGTGCAAGATGTGATGAGCAAGATCCAGGACTCAGCTCCCACAGCTGCCACCTCTCGGATTCTGGGGACAGCGATCACCGGACCCCATGTTGCAAGCAGCCCATACCATCAACGCAGCACCAGGAGAAAACACACATACACACAAGTAGGCCGTGGGAGAGCCCCCAGTTTTACTGCTTCTGACTGAACACAGTGAGGTCTTTGTGGGACATAGGCCCAGGCTCCCAGTGCCTGGGTAGGGTACTCTTTCCACGCTCTGGCCACGGCGGGAGCCGTTCTCCAAGGGGAGACTTTTGACCCGATGAGTCCTGGTGTCATCCTGGCTCCGGGTGCCCCCTGAGGCTACTGGCTGGGGCTGGGCAGAGGCCTGGGGGGCTGGTCCCCAGTGAGTTGGATGGGGGGGCAGGCCTCGGGTGAGACACAGTGGGCCTCATGCTCCACCAGGCCTGCGGGGCACTGGCAGCCAGGAACGCAGGGCCTCACACAGCGGGCTGCCAGCTCCCCTGGGGGGACGTGCTGGTTGAAGCAGGTGCGGGGACAGGGCGGGCCACACTCATCGAACACGAAGCCACGGTCCAGGGCACAGCCCACGACTGCAGGTGGAGGGGAAGGCAGGGTCACGGGGGCACCCCGTCCAGACCCGAGCCCTCTGTGCCACCCTCTTCCCCAACTCGCACTGGGCTTTGCCCCCTCACCGCAGAGTGTGGGCCCCCGCCAGGCAGGCGTCACCCCCGCCCGGCGGCAGTGGCTGGCATAGGCCTCCAGGGCGTCACAGAGGCAGGCATCGGCCAAGGAGCCGGGGCCACAGGCACATAGGTCATACACGCAGGCGGCAAAGAAGGGCTCCGGCGGCACCACAGCATGGCAGCGGCCGAACGAGGAGGACGTCAGCACCCCACACCGGGCATTGGCCTCACGCCTGGCTCGGTAACCTGCTGCCCTGCACGGATCCACCTCGCGGCCCTTGGAACATGGCCGGCTAGGTCCCGGCCCTTCTGGGACCTAGGCGGGAAGAGTGACCCTGAAGTGACAGCATCCACTGGCAAGCTGGCCTTGGTGTGCTACGTTCTTCAAAACACTTTCCACCAAATATTTTGGTTTAGCTTCAAAAACCTCCCTACAAGAACAGCAAAGGAAGCACCGGCCACTTTCTCCTTGTCCCCATTTTACAGATGGACAAGCCAAGGCCCAGAGCAGGTAAGGGACTTATCCAAGGTCACACAGCCGGTGAGTGGCAAGGCAGGGCTTGTGGATTTAGATGATGCCTCTTTCAACAGGCTGTCCTGCCTCCCCCAGCACCATGACCCCAAATCATCCTGAAGCTGCAAAGCCCTTCAGTGATCCCCCTGCTTTCCATATAAGCAGGCTGTTCTAAGACTCCCACTCAACTGTGCCTCCCTCAGCCACCCAGCTCCTGTGCCACTCACCTGCCAGCTATTCCCAAAGGCAGCCTCTGTGGGCAGGAGCAACCCCTCAGGGCCCTGCAGATCATCCTGGGCAAAGCCATTGAAGTTCCCACAGAGCCCACACATCTGGCCCCGGTAGGAGCCAGGCACGCTCACCTCCACCTGAGACTGCCCATCCCACAGCACCTGTGCAGAGAGGCTGGCATTGGGGAGTGGGGAAAGGTAGGGACCCCGTCCTGGCCCCAGGCACTGTCAGCACCCCTCCCTGCTGGAGGGGAGGAGAATGGGTGGATAGAGGCCCCCCATGGAGAGGAGGCAGCTCTGGCCCAAGCCAAGTTGGCCCGCCCACACTGTGTGAGTCCTGGGCGAAGACATGAAGAGCTGCCCACACTCTGGCAGGAGGGCACCTTCTCCCATTGGCATCCCTGAGCTGAGCCCCTGGTGAAATGCAAACCCACTTCCAGAGATTCACTTTCTCGTGGGCATTAGGGCCTGACAGAGGACAAAGCACAATTTGAGTCCAGATCAGAAGTATAGACAAGCCTTATTTTACGAATTTGTAGATTGTACTTCTTGCTGAAGGCAGGGAGAAATTTACTCTCTGACATGGGAGTTGGAAGGAATCTCAGAAGCCACCTAGGAGACCTCAGTTGACATGCCCCCCAACAGTTCCCCCTTTTTACCAATGAGAAAACAGGCCCGGAGGAGGCTGGTACTGGCCTAAGAGTCCCACTGTGTTGGTGGCTGAACCAAGATTAGAAACTAGGCTCAGAACTCCTTTCACTGCACCCAAGAATCCCAAGATCCCCTCAGAATCCAGCCGAACTTTCTCACCTCCCTGGCCTGATCTGGCCCTGGACCTAGCCGGTATTCCCACTCCCTTTCCAGATACAGACGCGTGAACCGGTCCGGGGCTCCCACACCCCCACTGGCCCTGGCGGCCGCACCTGGAGCCCTGCCTGGGCGTGCAGGATCACCGTGCGTCTCTGCAGCTCCACGTACAGCAGCGGCTCCTGTAGGAAGGGCAAGGCCACCGGGCGCCCGTTCACCTGGAGGAGGGAGGCAGGAAGGGGGGGGGGTGACGCCGGGACTGACGAGTGGACCGCGGACGGCGCGGGACCGACCTTCCCCGGGTCCTCAGCTCTGCTCACCGTGACCGCTCTGCCCTGCAGCAGCCGCACGACCACGTCTCCGAGCAGCACCGCCACCTCCTGGGTCCAGGCCACACCCCTCCGGCCCCGGTTATCGTTGGTCACGTGCACGCTGTGGCGTGAGAGGCCCAGGTGCCGTGGTCAGCAGGGACAGGTGTAGGGAGTTGGGGGAAGGCAGAGGGGGCTGCGCACCTGAAGTCCGCTCCGCGGCAGTCCTTGGCCAGCACATAGCTGCAGCTGCCTTGAAAGTGCAGCAGGCGGCCGTCGAAGGTGCGGTAATGAGGGTCTCCGAAGGCCGTGCAGGAGGCGGGTCGAGGCAGGCAGCGGGGGCAGCAGCTGCCGGGACTCAGGGCGGGGGCCTCGTCCTGGCCTCAGCCCCAGACCGCATCAGACACATCGCCCTCCCCGCCGTGCCCCACGCAGAGACTCCCCGGGACCGAGGACTCGGACTCCCGCCTCCGGGCTCACCGCGAGCGGGCTCAGGGCGCCGCCTTGTGGCCGCGCCTGGAACTGCACGGCCTCGGGTACCTCCGCCCCACCGCGCGGCGGCCGCTACCCCAGCCCTGCCTCCCTCCTTCCTCCCGCCTCTTCTCACCCGGACGGCGGTGCCACGTGCCCACTCACCCCCACCGCCCTCGACCGCGGCACTCACGGGGCCACAGGAGAGCGGCGGGCAGCGCTGGCTCTGGCAGCGCACCGTGCCGGCCACGCAGGAGCAGGTGGTGCAAACGTCCACGGCCCAGCGCTCCCCGGAGGCCACCGCCCGGCCCTGGTGTGCGCACGACTGGGCGGGGGCTGAGGCGACAGGAG